TAATTCCTTTCAATTGGAGATCCCTCATCTACTGAATTGGAATTGGTTAGTCCATTTGTTTATATGACTTGAAACTATTCTTAGACTACTTGAATGTGGAGTTCTTCTACTATTCAACGCCAGTTTGTGAAAAAACACGGCATAAAGCTATCACTGTTCCAATTACCTGATAAAAGAAGTTCATCCCTTGTCTCTCTTTTCCTAAGTTTAAACTATTGGAATGTTAGAAGGAACAGAGTAACTAATAACTATCATGAACCTGCAGTAGATAGACCATGAGGCTTCCTACCTCAAGACAACATGACTTGAATTATCTGATAAAAAACACAAGCTTAAAATCAATATTAACCTTGGGAACAGATGAGAAAACCATATTAGCGATTTAATACTAAATTCTGCATTAAATCAAGCTTAAAATTCTTCATTCAAACACAACTTCTTTAGAAAATCATAACTTAATAAAAGTATAACTAAAATAGGAAAAAGCTTGTGTCCAATGAAAATGACTTAAATGTCGTCAACATATTATGTAACTTCACGAAAATTATGTAACTTACAGAAAAAATAAGCAACTAACAAGAGCTCATGCTTAAAATAATAAGAACTAATAATCGATCATACTTTTCGCTCAAGCGAAAGTATCCGTAGCTTGAGCGAGAATTGACCGAAGATTACCCCTTCGTTACAGATTTTCTCGCTCAAGCGAAGGGTTTCTTCGCTTGAGCGAGAGGTTACCCGAGATTACCCCTTTGTTACAGATTTCCTCGCTCAAGCGAAGGTTTTCTTCGCTTGAGCGAGAGTTCAGTACGCGAAATAATCGATCATAATATGAAATGATCAATTATTTTACTACGTAAACAGTAAAGAGTGTAGTTGTGTAAGTAATGTTTCAGATGTGCTATTTTGGGAAATATTTTTAAAAATAGTATTATTTATGAAAAAAAGTCCACTTTCGACAAGTACGCTCAATGTCATATTTTGATAACCCATTTTAAACGTCCGTTCGACAATCGAATAAAAAAATATTAAATGAACAGTATTATTGAATAAAAAAATATTAAATGTACAGTGTTTTTATTATTAAATAATTCATTTCCTTGGCTCATCTCTCCTCCTTCTCCCATTCTCATTTTTCCTTTTAGGTATGCGTGTTGGCCAAACTTTTCCTTATTTCATAGAACAAAATGGTCTTCTACATTGGAATGATAGGTTGGTAGTGCCAAAATAGTCCCCCCTTACTTTGAAGTTAATTCAATAATTTCATGATTCTATAATTGGAGGTCACGTTTGGTTCTTACCTTCGTCCTCAATTTTTTTGGCAAGGGATGAAAATCCAAGTTTATGATTATGTTAGGCAATGCCAAATTGGTCAGCAAGCAAAAGTTTCTCACTCTTTACTTGTTGGGTTCTTTCATCCACTGCCTATTCTAGATAAAATTTGAGATAATATTCCAATGACTTTATTACAGTACTTCCAGCAGTGAATGGATATACAGTAATCATGATGTCATTGATAGGTTGTCCAAATATACACATTTGAATTAAAGGGCACAAACTTTTATGATCGGTACGGATGGGCGCAAACAAGTAATGACGAAACTTAGTGACCACTTCTCTTCTTGCTACCATCTCACGAAGATAAACTTTAGATTGTAATTTATTAGAAAGCTTCTTAAAGAAAAAAAAATAGGATGTCCTTGCTGACTCAATATAGCACCAATTCCTGTATT